TATATATATATATAACATTTAATTTCTTTTATTAAATTGTGTCCGTTTTATTTTCGTTGGTTATTAATGCCTATATGTATGAATGTTACTATTTCATAAACTGAATAGGTAAGAATCGGTAGTTTATAAACCTTATAAATCAATCAATTATAAGATTTTTTTTTGAATTTTCTAATTTGGATTGAAAGATAAAATTTGTGTTTAGATTTTTTTTAATTAAAATTTATAAAATTAACAATTGTTTCAAAGGATTTTGGAAAAATTCTTTATGAATTGCACATGCAATATACTTATAAAAACAATTAATTAATAATATATATTGAAAAATATATATTAATTTTTTTATTTTGATTCTTGAAATCTATTATTTCTATGATTAATTTAGTCAATAGAAATCAAAAGTTATGATATTTTGTTTTAAAAAATAGTTTTCTTATTGAGAATTTTATAATGTACATTTTTTTAGAATAAATTCTCTTTATTTTTGTTTGGCACCTCTTACCTACATCCATGAACATCTCAATTGATATTCATTCATTTAAATAAATTACAAATTTTATTGGACAAACTTGCAAAATCCTCTCATTACATGACCACCCCTTTCCCCTTTCATATGCGTAGTGACTCCCTATCTCATAGTGGGTGGTGGTGACTAAGGATTGGATAAATCCAGAGTTGCCAAAATATTCGCAATGCGGAAAAGAAAGTAACATTAAACCCATTCTCAAGGACATAAAGTAAAAGGCCATTAAATGGTTGTTCTAGTTGCTCAGCCAACTGCTAAGTTCTTGCACCATTGATCAACTCAAATATTTCTGCAAGCACACCCATAACCGTCCAACTGGTGCCAAAGATCAACTGGTACCAAATTGATTGGAATAATTAACTTGGTGTCCATTTTGTCCATTTTAATTTGGCGTACATTTTGTCCGTTTTAATTCTCCTCTATTGCAGAATAATGTCAAATCATATCAACGAAATGAGGGAGATAATTTAGCTTGTAGTTTAAGATCTGTAGCTGTCATATACTTGTAAATAATTACCTATTGATCAATAGAATGGGACACACAATTCTATTTTCATAACTTTGTTACCTTGCGTGATAGGGCACTAGCGGCTTGGCTAAATCCGGAGTTGCCAAAATGTTCACAATGAGGAAAAGAAAATAGCATCAAACCTATTCTCAAGGACATCAAGAAAAAGACAATTAATTGGTTGTTCTTGTTGCTCAGCCAACTGCTAAGTTCTTGCATCGTTGATCTACTCAAATATTTCTACAAGCACACCAATAACCGTCCAACTGGTGCCAAAGATCAGCTGGTACCAAATTAATTGGAATAATTAACTTGGTGTACATTTTTGTCCGTTTTAATTTGGCGTACATTTTGTCCGTTTTAATTCTCCTTTATTGCAGAATAATGTCAAACCATATCAACGATATGAGGGATATAATTTAGCTTGTGGTTTAAGATTTGTAGCTGTCATATACTTGTAAATACTTACCTTTTGATCAATAGAATGGGACACACGATTCTATTTTCATAACTTTGTTACCTTGCGTGATAGGGCACTAGCGGCTTGGCTAACCCCGGAGTTGCCAAAATGTTCACAATGAGGAAAAGAAAATAGCATCAAACCTATTCTCAAGGACATCAAGAAAAAGGTCATTGCATCAAATGCCATTATGCCAGTAAACAAAGATCTCATATAAATGGATTACTATTAGGCTAAGAAAACAAAGCTTTACAAAAGTCATAGCACATAATCCCAAGTGCTACGTTATACTACCTCCAATCCTAATTATAAGTAACATAAGACAAATCATCAAGACCAAGAAAAGTAATTAATATTGTTACTTTTAATTAATTTTATCATAAATTCAAGTTTTATTTCAAATATATGCTTTTACTATAAGTGATTGATATATTTAATATTAGTTATAAGTGAATGCATAGGAAATAGAATAAACAATAAATAAAGGGTACAAAAGAAATTTAACCTTAGTAATTTTAAAAACTAACGATTGTTGTTTATAATTAAAACCAAAGAAAAAAACCAATTTGTTGCTTATAATTAAGACCAGAGGTAGTAACATATACTCCATGATATACCAATATACAGGATTTTGTGAATATGAAAATAAACACAATAATTAATACATAAATAGTTAAAATTTATTTAACAACATAAATACTCTACCTCGGCTTTTCTCTGAATCTTGGCTTCACCTTCAGCTTCAATACCATCCAATTTCAGCAATTGTCTCATAAGCAACTCCGTGGACATCAAAAACTCTTTGTCAGAAACCCTGGTCCCTCCATCCACAGCCACTTCCAAGGCAGACACCTGCATAATTAAAACCAGTCATATCCTCATTCTCCAGCTCCAGATCTTATGTTTCTAAAACAAATGATAGTAAGGAGAAAACACAGCGCACCCTTTCAGCGAGCTTGTCCACCTCTGCTCTGACTCCAGCAACAGCTTCAGAAGCCTTTAACATTTCATTGTGTTTTCTAATTTCTTCAAGTCTACTCTCCTCACTGGCAGCATCTTCCAAAAGCAAAAGCTTTGATTTGTCAGTCACACCTTCAGTGTGCAAATGCTCTTCATTGTCCTTTTCTTCTCCTCTGAAGAAGAGTCGTTGCTCTTCAGGCTGTAAACCAGTTTTGTGTACAAGCAATCTCTTAACATCCCCTGTTGTTGAAGACTAAGTTAAGACAAAGACATTTACCAATGACAACAGAATATAAGCTAATTGAAACTTGAAAGACTATCAGAAACGATTAAGTAGAGCTTATTTGGGATTATCATATTGTCTCATTTCAATCTGATGGTTATGCACAATATCTCCCATTGACTTGTATCAAAATATTGGCCTATTGAAACCTTATATCAGAAATGATTATGCATAATATAAACTTTTCATAAGCTCTAACTTATTTCCAGTGTTTCAAATCCCAGATAGAGAGACATAGTAGCAGGCCACTATTCAACCCACTATTTGGTAAACTACAACCACTACACTAAACTGCTTCACCACTATAGCTATGGACTTCTGTTCAGTTCCCGGCTTGGGCATTGAGTTGTGATTAGAATTACTATTTTATTCCTTAAAATGGGCTGATCCCATAGAAAGAAGTTATACCTTTTAGTTATACAAAAAAAAAAAAGTTTTAAAAACAAGAGTAAAAAAAAATGTTTTAAAAACAAGAGTAAAAAAAA